GGGGGGTGGTAGGGGTGGGGGGTGGGAGGGGTGGGGCTAGGGGGGGGAGGGGCTGATCACCCCGTGGTGCCCTTATAAAACTCAACGTTTAACCTACTCACACCGGCTTGTGCCCGCCCTCACAGTCGGGCATATTGTGCGGGACACACCACCACGTGGTGTCGCCGTTGACCCTGGCCACTGACCGAGCAACCCAACGTTCCTACCAGCTCCCTCCGCAGGAGAATGTGTTTTCGTAGCATCACAATTGATTTGCAACTTTGTAACCTTTGCTGCTTCATTTTGTTTTAAAATAAAACATACTACTTACTCCTCTTTGGATCTTTCGGTGAAGTCACGTAGGTATAAAATAAAATAAATTAAATCACGACGTTTCGCGCGCAACACAAGCGTCCGTCATCAGGTGGGACAACCACAGCAAGAAACAAATGCTGAAGTGCGCCAATCAAATTAAGATTGATACTACTTACTACTTTGTATTTAATTTATTTACATAATGGCATGGGCTGCAAAACTCTTTTGGATAAATATAACACTTCATGTTGTTTGTTTAGCCTTGGGCACTGATGCAACCTTTACCGACAGAACCACGAATATGAATCCCTGCAGTCACGAAAGCTTCAAATCAAAACTTTGACAAGTTGTTCGTTTGCTGTTTGTGTTTAAGCGGGCTTCCTTTCTCAGACAGACATCCACAATCGCCTCAGCTGCCAGGGCAAGGACAGCGAAACAGACCTCCCAGGCCACCCTTTTCTCGCCAAGCTCGACAATAAAGGGCACATAGCACTTGTCGCTCCACGTCACGGCGTGTCCGGCTATTTAACGAACAAAAAACAATTGTCACTGGAAGTATTTTTTTAAAATATAAAATAATAATAATAATTCTTCGTTGCTTTAGATGTATCGTGCAAAACACATCTAAATATAAAGAGTCCCCCTAGTGATTTCTGATTTCTTGCTTTTCCTCAATTGTGATGTTTTTTGATATAGCATCTCCAATTGTTATTTCGGTCAATGGTGACATTGGTGATGTCTTTTTTTTTATCTACTGCATTCAAATGGAAAACAGTGCACTTTGTTTAACTTTGTAGAATGACACGGCCCAAATTTCTTTCAGATGGTAACCTTCCATAAGTGTCCTCTGTTTAAATAAATTCATATAAATACTCTATCATGAACAAATGGTCCACTAAACAAGGAAAAGTAAAACATGTACTGGCCCAGTAAGCATGGGACGTTGGATCAATGTTGGTCCAATAGTTCCAACCACATGCTGTTAGCCGAATGTTGGCATGTTTACTGGGTGCTTCCTGGCGCTCACCATGAGAATGTAGAATTTTCACTAATTGCCCAATGCTGTAGAAACCGTATTGGTTCGTCTTCACTGATGTTCACTGACAAGTGTGAAGTACGGTAAGCCAACCCCCATCACTGACATTCTGGGAAGGCCTTATATAACTTAAAATTGAAAAGCATTGTCTTTAATTACAGCAGAGTAATCCATTGTAAATGTTCAACACTGCAGTAGATACAATTGTACAACGCTAGCTTTCCTTACTGTATGGAGCTATATTCTCTGTAGGAATTGTCCATGTCTTGTATCTATTAAAGACTGAGGTTTGAACACTGTCCACTCGATACCGGGTTCATTCAGTGGCGAGGCGGGAGCCCCACCATAATATCCGTGTATTTATTAAAACTACATTAATTCCACGAAGTCCAAATTTAGCCTAGTTCATGTTGGTAACGTTATTCTAGAGTGCTCAACAATTCATATGACTGTATAAAAATACATTTAGCATAATATGAAGGTTGAAAAAGATAACGTAAAATATTATTCGAACTTACTTGGCCTTAAAAATATCAGGCCAATTCTGGCATGCATAATCTCGTGGTACAGTACTCAACAAGGACTGCCTGGCATGCAATATTTCTGTGTAGCATGGAAATGCAGCATCTAACAGCACGTCAGCATTGCTGAGTACACTATTACAATTTTGAGCTTAAGAAGTGCAATTTCAATTTTTCCCAATTTCTAAGAGTCCCAAAAAAAACACTCCATTATGTGAGGTGCTTTTTTTAGACCTCTGCACATTGCATGGCAGGGGTAGCCAATTGGGGAACAGGGTGTAGGCCTTTAACTGTTGTGGTCTGCCCATTGAGCCGTATGTATTCACTCACTCATGCATTAGCTCCTCACAATTGGCCAAAGCCACCGTTTTTCCAGCTACATTATTTATTAGCTCCCCTCCCTGCTACAGCTGCAAGCCCACCACTGCATTGACAATTCCATTCACGAATCGCACAAGAATGAATGAATTGCACATTTCGCACTACTTATTATTCATGCACGTTAATTTATATGTAGGTTAGTTTTGCTCAGTGTGTCATGTTTGTTTTTGTTCAATGCAGACGAGCAGATAATACTGCAATGACGAAGCAGTACAGCGAGGCTCAGTACTGCATTTATTGCAATTGTAGTGTTTCACTTATGCCAAGTGAATGTTGCTGTGTGAGAGACATGGTATGCCACTATTACACAGAAGTAACATGAATATAAAATGCCTTTATGTTGGAAGTCACACTGAAAATGCTTGACATTGTTACGGGTCAGAATGTGAGCTTGGTTGCAGGGTGTAGAGTGGAGGACTAATATAATAGTAGGGTTCTCTTTTTTTAATCAAGAAAAACAGCACAGTTTAAACACCCATACATATAAACTAGGTTGTTTGGGGGGCGCCTGTGTCGCCCCCCAACAACCTCGCATTCATCATAGAAAGATAAAGTTGTGCGCTTACCAATGTAATGGAACGTATGTCCCTGTGACTTGTTGATTGTGATAGCGTGTGCGGGGAGAATGGGAAATTGTCGTCGTCGCAAAACAAATGACAAAGTCGTGTCGGTGGGGGCCAAGTTGATTCTGGGAATCAACACCGAATCGCCTCACTCTCTCTCTCTCAAGCATTCGTCATAGACAGACAGATAAAGTTGTTTATATATAAATATCATTTGACATCCGGAAGACTTAATTGAAAAGGACATTTCGTGTGAATTTTCTCTCGTCGTTAAGTAGATGATGTCCTCGCTTGGGGGTTCGGTTTGATGCGGGCTTTCACCTGTTTGGGATATGCGGGATCGAGATAAGGCGACGTAGAGCTGCTGGCCGTGCGAGAAGACCGCCGTCTGCAGATCGATTCCAACGTAATCCAACGTCTTGTCCCTGCGCCTCCGTCGTTCATGCAGGGGGTGCGTAAGGTTTACAGCGCCCCCTGCATGAAAACGACTGGAAGTGCAGCGTTCATCACATTCACAGATAAAGTTGAAGCGTTTATATTAATTAAAATATACACGAGGTGTTATTGATAAGTAGAATGTTCGCTGTTCATTATCTTAGGCTAAAATGTCACTAATTGTATTAATAACAAATCGCATTTGTGAAGTGCATTTCAATATCAGCATCAGCCGTGTCCTCTCCACTGCTGGGCCAAGGCCCTCCCCAAGCCATCGCCATCCCTCATGATGCAGAAATCCATTCTAGCTCCTGCAATGAACTGATCGATCTCTTAGTTCAATCTCCGCAGTGGTCACCCTGTCAGATGGGGGGGGGGGTAAACCCCCCCTTGGACTGCCACTTCATAGTCAGCCTCAACCATCGCCCACCATCCCTTCCAGCGATGTGTTCTGCACAAGCCCGCTTTGCTTTTCTTAAAGTAAATGAGCAGACATGAATGTCTTAGTCACATATCCATCTCTCTGTGGGAAAAAAACAAACACACGTATTTCTTACACAACCGTGTTGCTGACGGGGCGTGTAAGAAATATTTTTCTATTTTTTTACGTGGAGAAATGGATTTGTGAAGGAGACATTATCTTTATGATACCTCCTTTGCCAGTAACAAGATATAGTAATAGGTTTTACCCTTTTAACTGGCACAAAACCTGACACCTTTATTCAAGGCATCATGTTTGCAATAACCACAACACAAGCAGCCAAAATGCAAACAAAAGAGACAACTCTGATAATGATATGCACTGTTCTTGAATTTTATTGGTCTACACCCGAGACAGCTTTTCTTAGAGCCTAGTCTCCACTGGTGTTGGACCAGAAGACGCCAAAAGGCGTACAACTCAAAAACAGCGCACTATCATAGTATTGAGGGCTCGGGGTGAGCATTTACATTATGAGACCTCCTTTGCCTGTAACAAGATATAGTAATAGGTTTTACCCTTTGAACTGGCACAAAAAAACTGACACTATATCTTGTTACTGGCAAAGGAGGTCTCATAATGTAAATGCTCACCCCGAGTCCTCAATACTCTGATAGTGCGCTGTTTTTGAGTTGTACGCCTTTTGGCGTCTTCTGGTCCAACACCAATGGAGACTAGGCTCTAAGAAAAGCTGCCTCGGGTGTGGACCAATAAAATTCAAGGACAGTGCATATCATTATCAGAGTTGTCTCTTTTGTTTGCATTTTGACTGCTTGTGTTGTGGTTATTGCAAACATGATGCCTTGAATAAAGGTGTCAGTTTTTGTGCCAGTTAAAAGGGTAAAACCTGTTACTATACGAGACATTATCTACTTCTTAATTTTTGTTATTTATGATCTTCACAACAACGCGAATTATTATGAATATTTTAAGTAACTTTTTCCTCAGTTAATGTCTCTAATTTGTGTATGTATCTATGTATGTTGAACTTATTTCACACTGTACCGTACGTTTGTTCTCTGGTTCACATGTTCCTCTTTCTGTATATTGGTGTCATTTCAAACACATTACCACTATGTACCACTCCATGCTTTGTACACTTCTCAGCTTTTGTTCTATTTTCTCTTCCGCCGTCGTCCGCGTTTACGATCGACTGTCAAAACGCCCTACTCTTTAGACACATTGTTCCCTGAAATGTTGTTACTCCTCAATAATGAATGACACACGCCTCGCATTCGCTCATATTCATTGTGCTAAACTGTTTGTGTATTGTCACTGATTGCATCCCGTAGGTTTATGATGGTGCTCATCTGCCTTATATTCAGCGTGCTGTCCACCATCGAGCTGTACACAGACTTTGCCAACAGCACCCTCTATTGGATGGTAGGTACCGACGATTTTATCGCAAATAATTTCGTAATGCTTCGTTGGCAGTGATGCACAAGCGCGAATAACACATAACGCAAAATATTCGTCAACGTGCTATGCGGGAGGGTCATTGCCCAAAACTTAACCGTTTTTATGGTTTTCTTTTTCAGGCAACAGTGCTCTTGACAAATGTGTTGAGTTTTTGTTGTTGTTAATTTCTCACTCGGCCACGCATTGTGTCACGAGGAATAATCTCATTGCGTTTTAAGAAATGGATTTGCAAGCCAGAGGTCACCGGGTCAATCTCCCGTCTCGGCCTTTGAAACAATGGGGCAAGTTTCTTTTAATCCCCCACTCACACCGCCTATGTCCACCGAACAGGATAAATGGGTGCACCGTGCTTAGTCGATCGGCAGGTCGCGCGTTGATGGGATAGATTGTGGGTACGCCTACCTCTTCAAAGACGTTTTGATCAACGTGGAAGATTGGCCACATATCCTCTCGAGGGGTCTCTCTAGTCTAGAGCACTCCCTATCAGAGGCGTTTCCACCAGCACCTCTTTACCTGCAATGACAAAGTAGCGTGCCATGCATGTTTGAAACGTTACGTGCAAGTTGTGATGGTGCCGACTAAATACATTGCGTAATATGCAGTTTGTGTTATGCTAGCAGTGATGTGTAGATACAAAAAAAGTGTCACTGGCTGGCAGTGCAAATGGTCCAAACATTTAAATTGCATAACACATGCAAAGATGTGTACCTGGAACTGTAGTTACCTAGAAGAAAAACAAATATATATAAAAACAAACAAGATCATGAGACATAACGGTTACTCAAAATAAAATTATACAGAATACGTTACTTGAATGGATTTTTTTTATTCGGACAAAAATTTGCTACCTCTGCACTTTTTAAAATCTTCTTTTTTTGCATTTGCTGTTTGGAATTCTTTCCCCTCTGATTTTCCTCACTGTTGATCCCCTTCCCCTCTTCAAGTCCAGACTTAATTCCTTCACTCCTCGCCCGTTAACTAATTACTTCCTTAAGAGCTCCGTCTCAAACTTCCCCATCTCTCTGCTCTGCCAGTCCATTATTATCGTCACCCCCTCCCGTCTTCCCCTAGTTTCCTCGCTTCAAAGTATGCATACAAATCTACACGCGGAATACATATTCATGATTCGGGTGTTGCGATGTTTTGAGATGGGTTGTGCGTGGTGTGCCATGCCAATTCGCAATCTGCCCAGCGTGTGTTTTCTGTTGTTTCATTATTTTAAATACCGTATATTGTAAAAAATATATATATTCTTGGTTTTGTGTGTGAGCAGTGTGTATGTTTTTATGGTTTCCTTGTGCAATCTACCGAGGTGCACTTGTATTTAGCGACTTTATTTACTCATTATTCTTCAAATAGTAACCAAGAGGAAGAATGCACTTGACATTATTGATTATTAATGTCATGCCACGGAGGATTACAGTTGTGCTGGATCTCAAGACAATGCTCCATCATCATCAGCGATGACCAATCGACTGCTAGATAAAAGATCCCCCCCCCCCACCCCCCAAACCATTGCCATCTCTCACGATCTTGTGATATGATGAACCATCTGGCACCTTGCACATAACGTTGAATTCGTCGTTCCATCTCCTTGGTGGGTTCCTGTCAAATGAGTCCATTCATTTGCTCCCTATTAATGGCTGATGAGGGCTTTGCATTTTCAAGTTTAATTGAGTGGAAGTAGATTTATGAAGAGGCACATCTTGGTGAGAGAGAAGAAGTCATGTGGCACAGTATATACACAGGGCAGTGGATACTGATGTGTGATCAAATGTTGGTTAAGTTTGCAGTGGAAGGGTGCATTCGGGTTCAGAGGTCAACGCACCTCCGATTAGCATGGTTGGCTACGTACGGTGTGAAAGAAGTTCAATATACATACAGTCGCATACATTGCTGTGCGGCTTTATGAATTTGTGAACAATAAAATATTTTGTATCTGCTGATGCACCGTAGTTGGCATTATTTTGTATCTGCTGGAGTGAGGTGTAGGTGTAGAGTTCTGGTACCCCACTAGGGGTCAGAGCCGACTTGCTTTTAATGCTAACCAATACTCAGAAGTTTGTTATGAATTAAGCAGACAATCAGCTATAACCTATGAAGCTACAGCAATTATATTTCTTAACCGTCTTTTTTAAGCAAGAAAAACACGGACTGTTGTTAACCTTCTTGGTCTCATCAGTTCATTTGAATTCATAACCAATTCTATAATAACAACAATTCTTTTTGGGAAATCTATGGGTTTCTGGCCTGCATAATTATTCTGTGATTAAGTTTTTTTTCGTGTAATTTACATATGATATTTTTTTATGAATATTTGAAAGAGTTGAATGGTGCATTATGCCTAGAACCATCGTAGCTGAGTGATACATAGTTATATACCATTTTGTTTTTTAGCCATAGGCATGATTAATTCTTGACAATCCTTTATATGTGTAGTGACATAGAATCGGTCACGTAGCAGCATAGTGCTGGCTGCTGGCAGGGAAGGGGATCTGCAGCTTACAGCAGCCCTGACTGATAGCAGGCCACGTGATAGACCAGAGCGGTTTCTCGGGGAAAGGTTACGGGAGGGGCACATCGAGTTTCCGCTAGTAGCTTCCAGAAAGGGGCGTGGCCAGGGGTGGAGCCAGGCCACGCTGACAGTATAAGAGGGGCCCGGGAGAGGACCTCAAGGCTGTCGTTTGGAGTGGGATCCCCGTCGTGCTGCTGCTGGAGTCTTCACCATCGTCTCAGTCTTCACCATCTCTGCATCGCCAGTCAGGCAGTCTACCAGCTGTCCTGACTGGGAGCCGTAGTTACCAAGTGTTAACTGTTAGGCCGTGTTAATAAGCAGAGTGCCTCCTACTCTTAGTGTCTCTGAGTCGGTCACTACATTTGGCGTCATAATTGTTAAAGAAATGTAGTCATCATGTCCCAGTCAGCCAAGAGGAAGATTCCGCCTATTGTGTCCTCGGGTGATGAGGACGACGGGGATGTGATCCCCCTGACAGCCCCGGAATCGACGACTCCGGAGATTAGTCCTGAAGCGGTGATCCCTGAGGAGCAGCAAGGGAGGGACGTCGAAACCTCGCTGCTGGCGGTCGGAGAGGGGTGGAGCGAGCTCACCGCACATCTTGCGGGATTGCTCTCTGTTGCAGCGGAGCTGGTTGTCCAACTCGGGTCTGCAGCGCCTGCTGAGGATGCTGCAGCACAGGGGCAGAGGGCGACAGCTCGACCATCGCCTCCGTGCAAGCGCGGGAAACGACGGAACTCCAGCCCGCGCGGGCGGCCACCATTTTGCCCGCCGTGAGCGGGGCGCTAAAATCGGCCGCCATTTTGTCGACAGGGTGGGAAGTGCTTCCCGCCAAATTCCTGGCCTCGTCCGGAGGTGACTTCTCTTCAAAAGCGGCTGCTCTTTGTCAAATAATTTGTGGCTGCAGGGGGCGACTGAACAGCTTTCCAGCACCATTTCGCCGCTGCTTGCACCCTCACGGGATGGTCCGATGAGGAGGCACCGCGGGCTTTGCCCACCACATTGGATGACGCCTCCTTGGCGGCATTCCAGGCCACCCCCGCAGCGGACAAAGCGACGCTGCCTCAAGCTTGTGCCCAGATGGCTGCTATTTTCGGTCCGCTGTCCAACGCGCGTCGAAAATTCGTGCTGCGAAGACGGGGGGAGACCAAGACGCTCCTTGCCTTTCGCAGCGCGTTGCTGTAACTGGGCCACGCCGCATATCCTCAGATGGCACAGATGGCGCTGGACTCTCTGGCACTGGAGAGGTTGCTGTCGCTGGCCAGGAGCTGGGCATCTCTCTGCCTGTCACGGAAGAAGACGACTTAACATCCTTGAAGGTAGCCCGCTGCATCCAGGCCCATGTCAACTTACAGCGGTGGCCCGCAATGGCTGCCTACGTGGGGTTCTCGGAGGACGGGGACGAGCGTCAGGAGCCGGAGCAAGCCTGTGCTTCCTTCGTTAGTAGCCCGCGTGAGACGAATGGTGTTGGACGACGATGGGAGCGAGAACGGTGAAAGCGGGACCCCCCTTCCAACGTGGAGGTCCCAAGTCACTTGTTTTAAGTGCGGCCAGTTGTTCCACATCCCCAAGGGATGCTGTGCTGGCCCCGGATCATACTCCTCGCCTTCGTCTTCCTCCGCCCTGCCGATTTCTGCTTCCCCGGGTCCACAGGCAAGTCACGATGCATCAGACACCTGGCCGCCACAGTCATTTCAGGCATCTCCCTCTTCGAGCGAGTCGGGTTCGCACACCGTCATCCCTCATCATGTCACGGAGCGTGAATGCCAGACTTCAGCATGTAATGGGTTGCCGCGGGGCGCGGGGCAATGGACCGCATTGGCGCAACGTCTCGTGGCGGCGGCGGGATCATCCGCGGTTGTCGAGCTCGTGCAGGATGTCGAACTAAGGGTGCTCATTGATACGGGAGCGTCGGCTAGTATAATTTCAGAACTTATTTATAAGTGTTTGCCGCCGAGGTCATGTTGTCTTAATCCGGTGAACAGTGTGTGTGTTGCCGCTAATGGCGGGAGTTTGGGTATTATGGGCCAGATATCGGCGAAAGTACGCATTGGGGACATTGAATTGGCGGGGCCAATGTTAGTTTCTAAGACATTGGCTTTACCCTGTCTGTTGCGCACAGATCTCCTCGGAAGGATGCCCCTTAAGATCCTCGTGGATCAAGGGTGTATTGAACTGCCGTTGGGGCGGCAGTTGGCATCTTTGAAATCCCCGACTCGATTGAAGAGGCCCGATGCCACGGTTCAAGCCCTAGTGAAGGAAACCGTCACGGTTTCTCCAGGTGCTCAGATGTTGGTGCCCTTGCGGCTGCGGAAGCAGCTCGATCGCACAGACACCTAAAAGAGCGATTCAGGGCCTCGCGTTGGTGGGGGCTCAAAGGATCGTTAGGGGGGGCCAGGATCTCTTTCTGCAGGTGTTGAACGTCGGGCTGGGCGCTGCGGTTGTCCAG